GCCCATAGTCCACATTCAATCTGGGCCATTCTGTGGCCGATCTGACGATCACGGATGTCCTGTAGTGTTTGAATTTTAATTTTTTTTTACAAATCCAAATCACTTGAAATTTTAGGCGTGTGTTCTTCAAAAATACGCGAATCTACGAAAAATATCAAAACAAAATTTTACATGAAATAAATTGACCAAAATACCCCCAAAATTTTTGCGGGTTTTTGGTCAATTTGTTTTTCGCGAATTATTTTTTTTATATTTTTATTAGGTGCGCCTTGACGAGAAGAACACACGTCCAAAATTTCAAGTGATTTGGATTTGTAGAAAAAAAAATGAAAATTCAAACACGAAATGAGGTCGTGACCGTCAGATCGACCACAAAATGACCCAGATTCAATCTAGGCCATTCGTGTATGGGCGTACAGCAAGGACTCCCTATATATATATTTGGAAAACTCTTTCCAACGCCTATAGTTGAAAATGAACAGTGATTTCGCCTACCCTCATCACCATCCAAACTTCATCGCATCGTCACAGTTGTTCGATAGTGCTTCAATTTTCATTTTTTTTCTACAAATCCAAATTACTTGAAATTTGGAGCGTGTGTAAATCTTAGTGAGACGTACCTAATAAAAATATGAAAAAAATAATTTGTAAATAAAAATTGATCAAAATACCCCTATAAATGCACAGGCAGTTTAAGTTAATAAAATCGAATATGGCAAATTTGTTCAGGACACTATCAAGTAGGACAACTTCTATCAACACACTTCGTGTAAATAATAAGGAAGAAGTTATTATCGATAATATCGAAAAACAAATCCAAAATTGAAACATCCCAAAAGTTAACGGATGTTTATAAAAAGGGGACTTTTGATTTCAAGAGTAGCTTCTCAATTAAAACTATTGAGAAAACTATTTCTGCATGGAAACTCAAGATAGTTTCCAATTGCTATCCTCAAAGATGGTTGAAGAACATAAAAGAAAAGATTTTAACTATCTACATATTGGCCTAGTCCAGATAGCTGTTAAACCCTTAACCAGGACAAGGTTAAACAACTCTGTTTTCATTTGCTTAAGAGATAACAGACATAGAAGGTTCACCGATTCTTTATTAGGAATGGTCGAATCAACTTTTTGTAATGGTCCTATATATTTTAATTGCTTTTCGAATTTTTCGTTGGCCTTATCTAATCCAAATCTTTTGAAGGTTTTAACTCTGAATCTAAAAACTCAAGGTTTTAATATGAATCCTGGATCTCAAAACTTAGCTTTTGTTTATAGAATCTGTTATAAAGTTATGAACACTCTATGTCCAAATGCGAGGCAAATAGATACAAAGGGTCAAATCATTTTCTTTGAAACAAATATGGATAAATCTAATCTGGTTATACCTAAGTCTGTATCTTGGACACAGATTAAATTGCCGGAAAGATGGTCTGTTTAGTTTGAAAATCAGATTAAGATTCTTAAAAATAGAGAGCCTGAACAATTAATCGAATACTCGGATGGAGAAATTGAAATACAATTTCCATCGTCTAGAAAAACTAAACTAAGTATTTCCAATACACTTCCTAGAAATCCGCCAAGAACGTCAACCTCCTCTATTCCTCAGGCTTTTTCATAATCTGATTGAGGAATAAAGGAGGTT